TTTGTCCATATTCCAATAATTTTCTTCTCCCTTCATTCAGATGTAACTATTTGGAATTCTGAATTTATCATTCCCTTCCTTTAATATAGTTTTATTATGTATATACTATACCTAAATGATATATTGTTCACTTATTTTGTTTTTGATCTTTTAAATAATGAAATTGCACATTATATAATCTTCTTTATTTTGATCTTTTCTCCAAACATTATATCTTTGAGATTAACCATACTGATGCTTTTAACTGTGATTCCCTCATTTTCACTGCTGTAATGTATTACCTTTCTTATGCAAACCACAAAATATTTATCCAGTCTCTGTTAATGGACATTTGGCTTGTTTTTAGTTTTTTGCCCCTGTAAATAAGGATGCTGTGAACATTCCTGTATATGCTACTTGCCATACATATGCAAGCTGTATACTCCTAGCAGTGGGATGATTAATTGTATCAGAGTATAAGATAATGCAAGTTTTCCTAAGAAGTTATATCAATTTACACTACTACCAGCAAAAATACAGAGCACTCATTGCTTCAAATCCTCACCAAAATTTTGGGAAATTAAACTTTCTTTGTTTTTTTTAACTTGGAAAGTGATTATATATATTTTTTCTATTTTAATTTTTTATTTAAATTAAAATTAGTTCACATATAATGTATTATTAGTTTCAAGGGAAGAATTTAATGATTCATCAGTTGCATATAATAACCAGTGCTCATTACATCAAGTGTCCTCCTAATGCCCATAACCCAATTACCTCATCCCCCCACCCACTTCCCCTCCAGCAATCTTCAGTTTGTTTCATAGAGTTAAGTGTCTCTTGTGGTTTTCCTCCCTCTCTGTTTTTATCTTATTTTTTCCCTCCCTTCCCCAATGTTCATCTGTTTTGTTTCTTAAATTCCACATGAAATCATATGGTCTTTGTCTTTCTCTGACTGACTTACTTTGCTTAGCATAATACCGTCTAATTCCATCCACGTCGTTGCAAATGGCAAGATTTCATTCTTTTTTGATGACTGGGTAATATTTCATGGTGTGTGTGTGTGTGTGTGTGTATACACACTACACTACATTTTATCTATTCATCTGTCAATGGACATCTGGGCTCTTTCCGTATTTTGGCTATTGTTGATAATGCTGCTCTAAACATCATGGTGCATGTGCCCCTTCAAATTACTATTTTTGTATCTTTTGGGTAAATATCTATGTTATTAATTGATTTATATATTTGTGTGCCCAAGTTGAAGGCATAAATATTTACAATTGTTTGATCTTCTTGTTGGAAAGACACCTCTATTATGATATAGTGCCCTTCTTCATCTCTTGTTACAGTCTTTGATTTACTCCGGCTTTCTTTTAGCATGATAGATGGTTCTCCATCCCCTCACTTCCCATCTGCGGTTATCTTTAGGTCCAAAATCAGTCTCTTATAGGCAGCATATAGATAGTTTGTTTTTTTTTTTATCCATTCTGCTACCCTATGTCTTTTGATTGGAGCATTTAGTACATTTATATTCAGAGTGATTATCGATAGATATGAATTTAGTGCCCAAGTGTGTTACCTATAAAGTTGGTGTTTCTGGAGATGTTCTCTGTTCTGTTCTAGTCTTTGTTGCTTTTGGTCTTTCTTTTCCACTCAAAGAGTCCCCCTTAATATTTCTTGCATGGCTGGTTTAGTGGCCATGAACTCCTTTAGTTTTTGTGTCTGGGAAGCTCTTTATCTCTTCTTCTATTCTGAATGATAACCTTGCTGGATAATGTATTCTTGGCTGCATATTTTTCCCATTCAGCATGTTGACTATATCCTGTCACTGTCTTCTGGCCTGCCAAGTTTCTGTGGACAGATCTGTTGCAAACCTGATTTGTCTTCCCTTGTAGGTTAAGGACATTTTTCCCTTGCTGCATTCAGGATTCTTTCCTTGTCTGTGTATTTTGTGAATTTGACCTTAATGCCTTGGCCGTGGCCAGTTTTTGTTGAATTTGATGTGAGTTCTCTGTGTCTCTTGGATTTCAGTGTCTTTCTCTCTCTCTTCTTCTGGGACAATATGAATGTTGTTATGCCTTTCTGGGATGATATGAATGTTATTATGCTTCTATGACCGAATGTTATTATACTACACAGAGCTGCTGAGTTCTCTAAGTGTGCATTTGTGATCCAATACTTTTCTTTCCCTCTTCTTTTCGGCTTCATTATTTTCCATAATTTTATCTTCTGTATCATTCATTCCTCTGCTTTGCTTATCCTCATTGTCATTGCATTCAGTCAGCTTTGCATCTTGGTTATAGCATTTTTCGTTTCAGCCTTACTAGTTTTTAGGTCTTTTATCTCTGGTAAGGGACTCCTTGGTGTCCTCTATGCTTTTCTCAAGTCCAGCTAGTATCTTTATGATTGTTGTTTTAAATTCTGGTTCACACATATCACTTATGTCTATCTTGATTAGATCTCTGGCCGTGACCTCCTCTTGTTCTTTTTTGGGTGGTGAATTCCTCCATCTTGGCATTTTGTCTAGGTCTCTGTCTTCTGTGTGTTAGGAAAGCCTATTGTGTTTCCTTCTCCTGAGAATAATGGCTATATTAAGAAGGGGTCATACACTGTCCAGGAACTGATGCTTCAGGAAATGTTTCTGATATATGCAGTGTGCACTCTGCTGTTGTGTTTTGGATACTCTTTCCCTTAGGTCAGTCCACTGCAGATTTTCTCCTTGCTGCAATGGGGAATGTTTGGATCTTGTCCACTGTGTGGCAAGTTTTAACTAGGTGTGTTTTGGTCTACTTGTTAGAAAGGGTTAGATCATATTTCTTCTAGAGCTGAAGCTTTGCAGCCCTCTATAATCAGTAGACTTGGTGCATGCAGGGGGTTTGTGCTGGTCTTCTGAGGGAAGGGCCTGCAGCTGCTCTGACTCTCAGGCACACTCGCCCTAATTCTGAAGCACCTGCAGAGTGCAGGGTAACGGGGCTTAGTGTAAGCAGCTAAAGTCTCCACTATGGTTGCTGTGCTGCTCACTGAGTCTGTCAGTGCTGATGGGTGGGGGTAAAAATGGTATCAGCCAGATCTCTCCTTCCCAGAGAGGGGCGTTCATGCCTATTGCTGTTAGGGAAGCCCTCACAGAAGAGAGAATAATCTCCCCTCATTTGTCCCAGGCTTCCTTCAGATCCCTGCCTTCACCCTGTGTCTGAGCCATCTGCCCACCCAGAGGCAAAATGCTTCTGTGTTTTATCTCTGGCACGCTGGCTGGGTTTCAAAACTTCAAATTTTAGGGACCTGACAGGGCATGGACCTGCACTGATCCTCTGGGGGAGAGTCTCCGCATGCTGTGGTCGGTGCCGGCTTGTCCCAAAAGGACAATTGCACAAATGCACAGGGGCTTGGAGTTTATGGTAAATGATGGCAAAAAGCCAGTGTTCAGGTTAGGTGCCCTCAGCAGGTGTCTCTGCTCATATGCTAATGAATGGGGCAGCCCAGTGATGCCTGCAGGCTGTTTTGTCCCTGGAGAGGCAGTGCCACCTCTCCCAAATGCACTCCACGAAGGGGAACTTTCTCTCCACGTGTAACCCAGGGGATCCTCAGACCATGCTGTCCACTCCTGGGCCTCTGCCCTCCTTCTCCACAGGAGCACCTCTACGCCTACCAGGCTCCACCCAGCAATGGTGCAGACTTCTAAAACTTCAGGCTTTGAGCTCCGCTGCTTGTAAAAACTTGGAATTATTAGCCCCTCTTATTTTCCTTGTCAGTGGTTTTGGGGAAGTGGTTTTCTGGTGCAGTGCCTTGCACCCTGCTACCTTTCTTTCTTTCTCTCTCTTTCTTTCTCCTCTCCCTCAGGGATCCCCCCCCTCGGCAGCACCCGTGATTCTTTTCTCCCCCAAATCATGGCTCCACACCTCCTACCTTCCATGATGTGGCCTCTTTTCTCCCTCTAGTTGTGCAGTTTGTTCTCTCAGTCCTCAGATTGATTTCCTGGGTGTTCAGAATGATTTGATATTTATCTAGCTGTGTTCCAGGGACAAAGCAATCATAGGGTCCCCCTACTACTCCACCATCTTTAATCTGGTTCCCTGGCTTGCCTTTTAACTTACACTATCACTCCATGCTTCCTTCACACCTTGCCACAATACTGAAGCAGCAGCTCTGAACCATTGTTCCACTCTTTGTTTCAATTCTTTCTTTTCCCTCAACTAATACTTTGTACTCACCAGTATTTCAAATTTCTATGCCCACTGATTTTTACTTATTAATTTGTCTTTATTTACTCATACAACACAAAGTTTAAAGAAATTCATATATATGCTTATAGGGGTTAGTTCTTGACAGATGGCTCAAAAATACACTTTTGACATTTTCCTTGACAATCAATGCCACTATTATTTTTTAAATTATGTACGTCAGCATTTCTGCCATAGGGCTGCCTTCCTTGCCTTAAGTGTTTAAAACACAGTATTTGGCAAAAGCTGGGGAAAGTTCAAACTTCACCTGTTCCTCAGGAAAATGCTGGCCTCTTAATGGGAAAGAGGCAACATCTGTGGCAATTCCCAGCCTTTGATGGGAAGTTTCCCTCCCATGGCAGGAATCTCCTCAAATCCATGCCAATCCCCATGACCCCTGTTCAGGCTCCACATTCCTGTTACTGATTTCAGTGCCCCTCCTTCAAATTTTCTTATAAAAGCCCAGTCTTCTCTGACCTGACAAACCATTGCAAATCCCTGCAAGACGGGTGAGTAGAAACTGAGAGAAGATGAGACACATGACAGGAATTATACTGTACATACTTGGGGGAAGGTACAGGAGGATCCCTGTCAGAAACACAGGAGCTCTGGTCTCAGCACAGGCAAGCTTGTTAGTTCTCAGGGGGTAGGAGGGCCACAGATTTCCAGTTCTTCCCAGAGCTATACAAAGGGATAGATGTCAATGGAAAGAAAAGGAAGAGGAGTGGCATCTCTGCATGCCCTCTCTCCAATCATGCTTTCCTTAGTGATCTCTGATTGCTTCCTCAGATCATAGACACGATGCTGCCTCCCATGGCCCTCTCCAGCCTGTCCTGGATGCTGCTTTCCTGCCTGATGTTCCTGGCTCGGGTCCAAGGTGAGCTTTTGCTGTTCCTAGCACTGGGTCCTTGTGAATGCTCAGGGCCAAGAAGAAGAGGAAGGCCCTCGTGGTAAAGTGGTGACACATATCCTCACACAAAGAAACTGCCTATAACTTGTCCATCATTACTCCTTCCTTCAGGGTAACTAGGGGTGGCCAGCATCACCGTGGTCCACTAGCACTGCAAGGAGGTCATTTCCATTTTGTCCCAGCACTCTAATTTGTGTTGGTAGGTGAAAGAGGAAAAGTGTGAAGGGTCAGTAATGAGATACAGGGAAGGAAAATGAGGACCAGGTGCAAGAATGGTCAACCTAGAGTGGGGAAGGGTTGGACTTTGAAGGGGAAGGATGAAAAGAAAAGAGAAGCTTCCTCATTTAGTGGGGTTGGTTCAAGATCAAGAAATCTTAGAAGTGGGGCGCCTGGGTGGCTCAGTTGTTAAGCATCTGCCTTCAGCTCAGGTCATGATCCCAGGTCCTGGGATTGAGCCCTGCGTCGGGCTCCCTGCCCCGTGGGAAGCCTGCTTCTCTCCCTCCCACTCCCCCTGCTTGTGTTCCCTCTCTCGCTGTGTCTCTGTCGAATAAATAAAATCTTTAAAAAAAAAAAAAAGTTCATAAAAAAATCTTAAAAGTGTTGGCAATGGGGAGAGGCAGTCACGACTTTGCCATCACTTCCCAAGCACTGGCCTCATACATATTCCCCTAGGTCACCTCCCTACCCTGATCCCCACTCTCCTATTTACCTCTCCCTTCTCTTTTATTTCCTCCCACCCTAGGTGAAGACTCCCAGAAGGATGTGCCCGCTCCACGGATCAGCTGTCCCAAAGGCTCCAAGGCTTATGCCTCCCACTGCTATGCCTTGTTTATGACACCAAAATCCTGGATGGATGCAGATGTGAGTACTTGGATTTCAGTTAGGGGTTTTAAGGGAAAGTACGTAAGAGACCTGAGGGGGGTCAGTTCCATTCTCCAGAATTTCTTGGGGGCAAGACTGAGCACCCACATCTTTTGCATATATACCCCTTCTCCCCTACCTCTGCCTACCCTCCCCCCAATGATGTCTCAGACTCCCCCTGAGTCTCTCGCTTCCCCACACAGATGGCCTGCCAGAAGAGGTCCTCAGGACACCTCGTGTCTGTGCTCAGTGGGTCTGAGGCAAACTTTGTGGCCTCCCTAGTCAAGAACAGTGCGAACACCTACTCAAATATCTGGATTGGGCTCCATGACCCCACAGAGGTATGAACTCATCTTCTCTTCATAACCTCTCAAGATGCTATTGCCCCCCCAAGCCCATTCCCTGTCCCCTGTGCCTGCCCAGTAAATGCCTTAAAGAGCCCTGGAGCTCAGAGATCCAGGAGGACATGAGGGGGAAAGGCAGGGCTCTGTAGCGGCTCACCAGCTGAGTTTTGTGGAAGTCCCTTGTCTCCAGCTGAAGTTAATCTGCCTCCTGTCATGCTTGTACACAATTTGCACATGAGGCCTTGTAATTCAGTTCTCTGAGCTTCACAGAGTCTGCACATATTGTGCTGAGGGAATCCTAAGTGAAGATAGGATCCATTTTTGCTCTATAGAACAGACACTGTCTTTGAGGTTCAGGTGGTAATTACAAATGCACCACTAATTGCTGTTTAGTCAGCAACATGTTACTCTGGGTGGTTCTGTAGGTCTTTGTGATTACTGGTTTGGAATTTGCCAATAAAAGGAAGGAGCTGGGAAGAGTTTCCCAGAGGAGAGCTCTGGCTCCAGGGAAGCATCTAGATGAGCAGAGCAAATTTGGTGATGCTGGGGAGGGGTTCATGCAAGGAGAACTCTCATGGCTATTCAACCTCACCACACTCCATCTTCTATAGGGCTGTGAGCCCAATGCAGGTGGATGGGAGTGGAGTAGCAATGATGTGCTGAATTACTTTGCCTGGGAGAGAGACCCCTCCACCATCACAAACCCTGGCTATTGTGGGAGTCTGTCAAGTAGCACAGGTAAGTAAGAGAGGAGCTACTTTCTGCCCAGACTTTTCCATCCTCTTTTTCTCCATTTCTCGGCATGACCTTCAGAGAATCCTGCTGAGCTAGGAAGTATAGTGTTGGTTTGTCTTCCCCCATCCCTTGTCATCTCTCCTTTTTGAGTCTCCTTCCTCTGGAACAGGACACTGATGAGGATGAGGGAGAGGCTTTGGATCCTAGGGCAGGATCTGGGATGCCTCTCACGTGGGTTCAAGAGCTCCACCAGCCACATCTACCTGAGCTCCTTTGTCTCTCTAGGATATCTGAGATGGAAAGATTACAACTGTTCTGTGAAGCTACCCTATGTCTGCAAGTTCAAGGACTAAGTCTGGGGAGACATGAGGAACCTGAGTTTTGCATGCAACTCATCATGGACATGGGACCAAGTGTGAAGACCCACCCTGGAAGGGAATAATTTCAAACCTCACCACTTCATTCTCACCTTTCTTCCTTCCTGCTCATTTATCTTCCTGTTCTTTTGTTGTATTACATGACCTGAAATCTTAGAATGCAATAATAAACATTTTGCTCCATTTCATGTGCTTTTGTGCTCCTGTCTCATAGCTAGACTCTGAATAAGAACCAGGTGTGGGAGGAATTCTGGGTCTTGTCCCTGTCCTATGTTATCCATTCCCCCAGCGAAAACATTTAAATGTCCATCCGTCCATCCCTACCAGTGTGTCTGTGATTAGTGTGTAGTCCAGGTTCATTTACATATGTGTTGTGTACAGAAAAAGACATTGCTCTCCCACACACTCTATTGCACATTCCTCCTGTTTGTGGCACAAAAAGCCTTAGTGGTGTCTGCTGTTTTTATTTTATTTTATTTTATTTTATTTTTAAAGATTTTATTTATTTGTCAGAGAGAGACATAGCGAGAGAGGGAACACAAGCAGGGGGAGTGGGAGAGGGAGAAGCAGGCTCCCCGCAGAGCAGGGAGCCCGATGCGGGACTCGATCCCAGGACCGTGGGATCATGACCTGAGCTGAAGGCAGTCGCTTAACCAACTGAGCCACCCAGGCACCCTGTCTGCTGTTTTTAGAACAGCACTTCTGAAATCATTTGCTATGAATGATCAATTTTTTTTCTTTAATTTGTAATCTACTTTGGACGATGACTTTTATAAAATACAGTAAAAAACGAATTATTTGGATTCTGACTACTGTGCTAACATGTAGAGCATTGGAAGTTATCACTCTTTTCCTTAGAATGGTTCTATTCTTAAAGCAACCACCAGAAAAGTGTTTGAAGTTGCCATAATTGCCTTTGACCATTTGGGATTCATCTCCTGGGACCGGACTTAATTGCTTTCCATTCAAAATCAGGTTTTTGGGGGTTTTTTTTAGCAGAATTTAAAAATAACATCTGTCAAGGCAGTCAGTATTGTCTACTACACTTAGGGCCATGCTTAAGTTCATACTGATCACAGAGGATATTTTGCTAAATTCTCAGTCTTTATTCATAACCAGTTTGTGCACTGAACCATTATAAATTTATTTCCTCTGGTGAACTCTTAAAAACTTCCATCTAAAACTCTAAAAAAGAGTTAGGCAGGCAGTTTTTAATCTCTCCTCCCTCTGTGTCTATTCTGTCCTACTGAACCCTCCATAATTTAATGCCTTCTGGGCAGTCGTGACACAGTTGATAAAAATGCTCCTCTCTCCTAATAATAAATAATAATAATAAATAGTAATAAATCTCTTATTTTCCCCTCACTGAAAACTAGTCTCTCTAATTTTTTAATTTAAAATCAATATATTGGGATGCCTGGATGACTCAGTCATTAAGCGTCTGCCTTCAGCTCAGGTCATGATCCCAGGGTCCTGGGATCGAGTCCCGCATCGGGCTCCCTGCTCTGCGGGGAGCCTGCTTCTCCCTCTCCCACTCCCCCCTGCTTGTGTTCCCTCTCTCACTGTGTCTCTCTGTCAAATAAATAAAATCTTTAAAAACAAATAAATAAAAATAAAATCAATTAACATAGAATGTTATTAGTTTCAGAGGTAGATTTTAGTGATTCATCAATTGCATATAACACCCAGTGCTCATTCTATCAAGTGCTCTCCTGAGTGTGCATCACCAGTTACCCCATCCTCCCCTCCAGCAACCCTCTGTTTGTTTCCTATAGTTAAGAGTCTCTTATGGTCTGTCTCCCTCTGATTTCATCTTATTTTATTTTTCCCTCCTTCCCCTATATTCATCCATTTTGTTTCTTAAATTCCACATGAGTGAAATCATATATTTGTCTTTCTCTGACTGACTTTTTTTGCTTAGCATAATACCCTCTAGTTCCAACTGCATCATTGCAAATGGCAAGATTTCTTTCTCTTTTGATGGTTGAGTAGTATCCCATTGTGTGTGTGTGTGTGTGTGTGTGTATACATACACACCACATCTTCTTTATCAATTCATCTGCCAGTGGACATCTGGGCTCCTTCCACATTTTGGCTATTGTTGATCATGCTGCTATAAACTCGGGGTGCATGTGCCCCTTCAAATTAACTATTTTTGTCTTTTGAATAAATACCTAGTAGCGCAGTTGCTGGGTTATAGGGTAGTTCCATTTTTAACTTTTTGAGAAACCTCCACACGTTTTCCAGAGTGGGTGCACCAGTTTGCATTCCCACCAAAAGTGTAAGGGGGTTTGCCTTTCTCCACATCCTCGCCAACATCTGTTATTTCCTGACTTGTTAATTTTAGCCATTCCCTTGATGCCTAGTGATGTTGAAGATTTTTACATGTTGTTGTTATCCATTTGTATGTCTTCTTTGGAGAAATGTTTGTTCATGTCTTCAGCCAATTTCTTAACTGGATTTTTTGCTTTTTGGTTGTTGAATTTGATAAGTTCTTCATAGATTTTGGATACTAGCCTTTTATCTGATATGTCATTTGTGAATATTTTCTCCCATTCAGTAGGTTGCCTTTTAGTTTTGTTGATTGTTTCCTTTGCTGTGCAAAAGCTTTTTATCCTGAGATGCCTGGGTGGCTCAGTCGTTAAGCATCTGCCTTCAGCTCACATCATGATCCCAGGGTCCTGGGATCGAGCCCCGCACTGGGCTCCCTGCTCGGTGGGAAGCCTGCTTCTCTCTCTCCCATTCCCCCTGCTTGTGTTCCCTCTCTAGCTGTCCCTCTCTCTGTCAAAATAAATAAATAAAATCTTAAAAAAAAAAGTTTCTTATCCTGATGAAGTTCCAATAGTTCATTTTTGCTTTTGTTTCCTTTGCCTCTAGAGACGTGTCTAGCAAAAAGTTGCTATGGCCGAGCTCAGAGAGGTTGCTGCCTGTGTTCTCCTCTAGGATTTTGATGGATTCCTATCTCACATTTGGATCTTTCATCCATTTTGAATGTATTTTTGTGTATGCTGTAAGAAAGTGGTCCAGTTTCATTCTTCTGCATGTGACTGTCCAATTTTCCCAACACCATTTGTTGAAGAGACTTTTTTTCCACTGGATATTCTTTCCTGCTTTGTCAAAGATTAGTTGACCATAGAATTGAGGGTCCATTTCTGGGTTATTTATTCTGTTTCATTGATTTGTGTGTCTCTTTTTGTGCATGTACCATTCTGTCTTGATGATTACAGCTTTGTAATACAGGTTGAAATCTGGGATTCTGTTGCCTCCAGCTTTGGTTTTCTTTTTCAACATTCCTTTGGCTATTCGGGGTCTTTTGTGGTTTCATACAAATTTTAGGATTGTTTGTTCCAGCTCTGTGAAAAATGCTGGTAGTATTTTGATAGGGATTACATTGAATAGACATTTTAACAATATTTGTTCTTCCAATCCATGAGCATGGGATGTTTTTCGATTTCTTTGTGTCTTCTTCAATTTCTTTCATAAGTGTTGTGTAGTTTTCAGAGTACAGATTTTACCTCTTTGGTTAGGTTTATTTCTATGTATCTTAACGATTTTTGGTGTATTATAAATGGCATCGATTCCGTGATTTCTCTTTCTGCTGTTTCATTGTTAGTGTATAGAAATGCAACAGATTTCTGTGCATTGGTTTTATATCCTGTGACTTTGCTAAATTCCTGTATCAGTTGTAGCACTTTTTGGTGGAGTCTTTCGGGTTTTCTACATAGAGTATTGTGTCTTCTGTGGAGAGTGAAAGTTTAACTTTTTCTTTGCCAATTTGGATGCCTTTTATTTCTCTTTGTTGTCTGATTGCTGAGGCTAGAACTTCCAATACAATGTTGAACAACAGTGATGAGTATGGACATCCCTGTGGTATTCCTGATCTTAGGGGAAAGCTCTCAGTTTTTCCCTGTTGAAGATGATATTCCCTGTGGGTTTTCATATATGGCTTTTATGATATTAAGGTATGTTCCCTCTACCCCTACACTGTGGAGAGTTTTTATCAAGAAAGGATGCTGAAGGATGCCTGGGTGGCTCAGTTGATTAAGCATCTGCTTTCAGCTCAGGTCATGATCCCAGGTTCCTGGGATCAAGTCCCACATCTGTCTCCTTGCTTGGCAGGGAGACTTCTTCTCCCTCCCCCTCTGCCTGCAGCTCCCCCTGCTTGTGCTCTCTTTCTCTTTCATTGTCTCTCACAAATAAATAAATAAAATCTTTAAAAAAAAAAAAGGATGCTGAATTTTGTCAAATGCTTTTTCTGCATCTATTGAGAGGATCATATGGTTCTTGTCTTTTCTTCTATTAATGTTGTGTATCACATTGATTGATTTGTGGATGTTGCACCACCTTTGCAACCCAGGAATAAATCCCACTTTGTCATGGTGAATAATCCTTTTAATGTACTGTTGGATCCTATTGGCTAGTATCTTTGTGAGAATTTTTGTGTCCAAGTTCATCAGAGATATTGGTCTGTAATTCTCCTTTTTGGTGGGGTCATTGTCTGGTTTTGGAATCAAGGTAATGCTGGCCTCATGGAAAGAGTTTGGGAGTTTTCCTTCCATTTCTATATTTTGGAACAGCTTCAGAAGAATAGGTATGAATTCTTCTTTAAATGTTTGATAGAATTCTGCTGGAAGGCCATCTGGCCCTGTAGTCCCCTCAGTTTTAAAGGAAGCAGGTAAAGGTGCTCCAATTTGTGTGTGAGCCCCTGATGCCTAATATTTATGTGGAAAATGTTGTGTTATATCCAATATCTGAATTCCCCATAATTTCTTCTACCAGAGTCCAACTGGGTTGCTGACAGCTTGTAAGTACTTTGCCTGAGATAGATACAAGCTTCTTTTAGGCAGCCTCAGTTTGGGCTATTTGGATATAAGCTGCTGACTTGCATTCTAACTCACTCAAGCAAAAAGGGGTGATTTTGAAAGGATGTGGTTTTATCTCCATGCACCAAGATTGAGGCATAGCTGAAAGCCTAGGGAAAAAAGAACAAAGGAAGTGAGGTTAATCTCTTCTTCCTT